CTGCAGTGTGCCACCAGAGACCCTTACAAAAGGCTCCAAGGAGGTGGTGCTGAAGGTCCCAGTTCTGAGCTGTGCTGCCTTGCCTATGGGGCTGAGCTTAGCAGGATGAGATCTGTGGGATTTGTGAATGCAAATCAAGGCAGATTTTCACTAGAGATGGTGCAAGCCCAGGAGAAGGAAGCAAACTGAATGACTCTCCCTAGCTCCACAGCTGCATGCCACCAGCAACCCTAACAAGAAGTATTTTGTTGGGGGCGGTACCTGTCTATCCCATGGTAGGGGAGAAAGTTTGGTCCTTGTATGAAAGCCACTCAGTTCAATGATCATTTTGTATTCTGTCTATAGTTTCTCCCAAAAAAGAGCACACCTCAGGTCCCAGCTTGGTGCAGCGAACAGACCTTTCTACTGCACTCAAGCTTGGCAGGATGGTATTGCCAATATTTGGAGGGCCAGGTTAGTGCACTTCCCCAAGCTGGTGCTGTAAGAATAGGGGTGCCTGACTGCCAAAGATGGCACCTAAAGGCAAGTATGAGATGTTGCTTCAGGCCTGGATTTTTGTGGCCATCCCTCTAGACCTCTCTTTGAAACCATGCCACACAGATCTTTATGGCTTCTGTATACCCTGAATTTCCTCCCCTCTACCAGAGTCCTGGGTGAGCGCCCAAGCATAAGCTCCTGTGTGTTGGCCTTTTAGGAGAGCACCTGGGATTCCAGCACACTCCCTGTCTTCCTAGTGAATAGAGACCCCACTAATTTTTCCTGCAAAATGCTATGCTAGCTCATCTTCTTGGCCCTGGTGCTCTGCTTTGAGGGTCCTGGCATGAGTTTGGGACCCTTCTCTCCTCAGTGGAGTGGACTTGTGAAGCTGAGGTATTCCTCCAGCTTCAGCCATTTCACCTGGGTACAGGGAACAGCTATGTCCACATCTACACCCTTCTTACCAGTCACTTTGTAGCTCTTCTATATATCCTTGACTATAGTACTCCTGTTCAGCTGTCCTTCATTTGGTTATTCAGGTTGACTGCTTTATCTTTTAGCTGTAAATCTGGTTTGTTACTGGGAGAAGGTGTGTAGCTTTCACCTACTCAGCAACCATCTTGTCTTTTGGCTTGTTATTTTTCTTTGCTGTGTAAAACCTTTTTAGTCTGTTGTAATTCCATTTCTTTCTTTTTCTCCCTTTTGTTTCTTTTGCCTGAGGATATATATCCAAAGAAATATTACTAAGAACAATGTGAGAGAATTTACTGCCTATGTTTACTTCCAAGAGTTTTATGGTTTCAGATTTTACATTTAACCTGCAGCTGATCTGACAGATACAAACAAATTTTTTTCTTAAATATTGTTACAGACTTCCACCAAGATGGAGGCATAGGTGGAGATGTTGTGCTTTCTCACACAACCAAGTTTAGAGACAACTAAATATTAGCTACAGAAAACACAGCCAGAACACAGAAAATTAAACTTTTTGGAAGTCTGTTAACAACAAACTCTTCAGCCTGACTGGTAAGAGGGGTGAAACCAGCACCTGGTAGAGCGGGGTAGCACAGGAAAACTCGGTCAGACGGACTCAGGCATGCGAATCCAGGCACAGGGTTGGACCCAGTGAGAAACTCAGCGACTGACCTCGGGGAAACAGCGAGAGAGCAGGGCTGCGGGTTGACTGTGGTCACGCATTCGTGCGCGGATAGACAAGCGAGGGAGTGAGTGAATGGATGGGACCCAGTGGGTCCCCGCGAGCGGCAGCAGAGGGCACCGCCATTTCCCCGCTCTGACCCCACCTCCACATACAGCATCATAACCCAGTGACTCTGAGTGGCCCGGCCCTGGTGAACCACCTAAGGCTCTGCTCCTCACCCAACAACTCGAAACAGCAGAGGGGGCCGCCATTTCCCTGCTCTGACCATGCCCCCACATACAGCATCACAACCCAGTGACCTGGGAGACCAAGGCTCCCCTCCTCATACTTAACGGGCGCAAACAGACCAAAAATGGCTCAAGAAGATCTCAAAGCCCCAGAGCCTATAAATCTAAGCGATGAAGAAATAGCAAAACTCTCAGACGCACAGTTTAAAACACTGGTGATCAGGATCCTCACAGAACTGGTTGATTATAGCCACAAATTAGAGAAACATATGAAGGCGAAACTAATTGAAATGAATGGAATTGCACAGGAAACCAACAGCGATGAAAAGGAAACTGGGACTCAAATCAATGGAGTGGACCAGAAGAAAGCAAATAATGGCCAAACAGAAAAGAGTGAAGAAGCAAGAATTCAAAGAAATGAGGAGAGTCTTAGGAACCTCCAGGACATCTTTAATCGCTCCAACATCCAAATTATAGGGGTACCAGAAGGGGGAAAGGAACAGCCACCAGTGGAAAACTTATTTGAACAAATAATAAAGGAGAATTTCCCCAATCTGGCAAAGAAAATAGACTTCCAGGAAATCCAGGAAGCTCAGAGAGTCCCAAAGAAGTTGGACCCAAGAAGAAACACACCAAGGCACATCATAATTACATTAGCCAAGATTAAAATGAAGGAGAGAATCATAGAAGCAGCAAGAGATAAGGGGACAGTCACCTACAAAGGAGACCCCATCAGACTGTCAGCTGATTTCTCAAAAGAGACCTTACAGGCAAGAAGGGGCTGGAAAGAAGTATTACAAGTCATGAAATCGAAAGACCTACAACCAAGATTGCTCTATCCAGCAAAACTTTCATTTAGAATGGAAGGGCAGATAAAGTGCTTCTCAGATAAGATCAAATTCAAGGAGTTCATCATCACCAAGCCCTTATTATATGAAATGTTAAAGGGACTTACCGAAGAAAAAGAAGTTAAAAAAACATGAACAGTGAAAGGACAGCAAACTCACAGTTATTAACAACCACACCTAAAACAAAAGCAAACTAAAAGGACAGCTAGATCAGAAGTGGAAACATAGAAATGAAGATCTCAAGGAGGGTTAGCAACAGGGGAGTGGTAGGAGGAGAAGGGGGGGAGAAGGTACAGAAAATAAGTAGCATAGATGGTAGATAGAAAATAGATAGGGGGGCAAGAATAGTATGGGAAATATAGAATCTAAAGAACTTGAGACACATGGTCATAAACTAAGGGGGGTAATGGTGGGGATGGGGGGTAGGGTGGAAGGGAAAGAAGGGGGGATAGAACAACTGTAATGGCATAATCAATAAAAATAAATAAATTAAAAATATATTTGTTACATATATCAGGTATATAGACTCAAAGTCATGATTAATTGCACAATTGTACAGGACTAACGTTAAGCCATAATGTCTAAACCATCAGTTTGTTTATAACATGTGTTTCATAAAGGTGTGTGATATTTGATAGTAAATTGTATCTGAGAGAAAGCATGAACTCCGGAAGTCAGTGTTGGTGCTGACAAACTTTGAAGTCAATTTTGTGTATCTTTTTCATTTCCTGTTGAAAATGGCTGGAAAAATATATCAATTTGATGATCCAAGAGGTAGTGAAGAACTTCAATGAATACTACTTGAGTCTGATGATGAAAACAATAGGGTCAAATACAAAAACAAAAGTACTTTAGAAGATAAAGATTCTGTGAAATTTAGTTTAGAAGATTTGGATACAGAGCAAGACATTTCATTTCTAGTGCAGAAAGTGAAGATTAGACATAAGTGAAGAGTATTTTTCTCAAAGGATAAAGAATCGAAATGGAGTAAAAATCCAGTAAGAAGATGAATTAGAAAACAGCTACAGAATATTTTGTGTCAACTTCCATTTGTTTGGCCAAACACACACACAAAAATGCCATTTTTTGTGAACTTGAAATCAGAACTTCTTTGTCACAAATGATATTTTAGATCTAATCTCATTATCTACAAAAAATACATTGATTTTATTTTGAGCCAGAAAGACATGCTAAATGAATAGACAAAACAGAATTAAAAGCATTTTTAAGCATTTTATATTTAGGTGGTTTATATCATGGCAATTGGCTAAATTTTCAGGGTTTATGGGCCACATTGTAGTGGTACTGAACTTTATAAACTTATGATATCTTTATGGAGCTTTAGATTTATTCAGAATTGTATCAGGTTTGATAACAAACTTACCTGCTTAGAACATCTGAAAATGAACAAATTAGTGGCTGTGAGAGACATTTTCTCAGCATTTGTAGTAAATTGTAAATTTTATTACTCTAGGAGACAGAATGTAAAAATAGACAAAATGTTACCTGGATTTAGAGGCAAATGTGTGTTTTGGAAACATCCCACACAAGCCCAGTAAAAACAGTATAAAAATTTTTGCTATGGTCAATTAAAAAATATTTTACACAGACAAACTTGAAGGACTGTCTGGAAAAGTCTAACCATTGTTAATATAATGGGAATGGTTTGCACAACATTTATGTAACCTGGCAGCCAAGGAGAATGGACTGGAATGCACATGCATGAGCAATGATGGCGTGACTGTATTAGTCAGTGGGGGCGGTAGATGCTGCTGACTGAGCATGGGTACTGTATGGCTGTTGCATTTAAAATGACTGAGTGAGTAGAGCATCTAATTTTGCATTAAGCTCAAACATTCTTCCACAGAAATTATTCAGATAATTCAGAAGGCTGTAGCTATGGGCAACTGGTGACTGGCAGTTTCATCACAACAATGAAGCTGCTCATGCATCACATCTCATACAGCTTTTTGTGAAACATCAAATCACCCAGGTGACACAGCCACCCTACAGCCCTACAACTCTGGCTTTTCCCAAAACTAAAATCACCTTTGAAATGGAAGAGATTTCAGATCATTGATAAGATTTAGGAGAATATGATGGGAAGCTGGGGGCAATTGGGAGAACTGTGTGAGGTCCCAAGGTGCCTACTTTGAAGGGGACTGAGGCATCATTGTCCCATGTACAATGTTTCTTGTATCTTCTTTAATAAATGTCTCTACTTTTCATATTACATGGCTTCTGAACAGACCTTGCATATGCTAGTAAGCAGCCCCAAAGTCCTTACTTAATTAGTAATAAAGCAGCAAATGTAATCAAGAGACTTTATTTATTAAGACATAGTATTACAGCAGATAACTAGTTCATGGATATAAATCTTATCTCCAACCTGAAAAGAAGCAACTTTCATACATAGGCACTGTTTGTAAGAATAAACTCCAACTACCACCTGAATTTGTGTCTTCTAAAAACAGGCTAAACATATCTAACTTATTTTGTGTTGGTGAAGATTGCACACTTGTATTTCATATACACAAATAGTGATGAAATGTAATTTTAGTTTCAAGTATGCATTTCAATGATGCTGTAATTTCATAGAGTCAAAAAAGCCTGATATAATAGAATATTACAACCAAATGAAGCCAGGAGTTAACACTGTGGGTCCAGTGATAGGTACATATAATGTAGCCAGGAACACCAGAAGATGGCCTATGTTTTCGTTTACCCAATTTGGGATATTGCAGGAGTAAATGCTCAGATTATTCATATGCTGAATGGAAACATGAAAATAAGGTGCAGAATATTTATTGGAAATCTTATAACAGTGTCAAAACAAATAAAAAGGTGTTCAGAAGTCTCTACAGGTGTGCATAAGCCTTTACACCCAAAAGTTCATCAATCTGAAACACAAATTGAAGAAAACTCTAATGATGACATAGTCTCCCTGACAAGCAGGGGGAAAAAAAAGATGTGTAAAGTGTTATGCATTCAAATGAGTTGCTTGTCAAAATACTTTCACAAGTGTTGTGAAAAGTATTTATGCCTTCAGCAGAGCACTATTGTCTGCAATGACTGTTATAAAGGTTGTGCAAAGCCAACTATTGAAGATTCTGATTAATTAATGTTAAAGACATTTTGGTTGTATTTTTTTTAGCAATATCCATGTTTCTATTATTTGAAACAATTTTATTCTTTATGTTTTTATATTTCTTAGTTTAATAATTTACACACTTTTTCAAAGTGGACACACAGATGGCCAATAGACTTATAAAAAGATGCTCAATGTCACTCGTCATCAGAGAAATGCAAATAAAAACCACAATGAGATATCATTTCACACCTGTCAGAATGGCTATTATCAATAATTCAACAAACAACAAGTGCTGGTGAGGGTGTGGAGAAAGGGGAACACTTTTGCACTATTGGTGGGAATGCAGATGGGTGCAGCCACTGTGGAAAGCAGTGTGGAGATACCTCAGAAAATTAAAAATGGAGCTGCCTTTTGACCCACTGATCCCACTTCTGGGAATATATACTAAGGAACCTAAAACACTGATTTGAAAGAACATAAGCACCCCTATGTTCATTGCAGCATTTTTTACAATTTCCAAAATATGGGAGAAGGCCAAGGTCCATCAGTGCATGAATGTAAAAAAACAACTATGGAGAGTTTATACAATGGAATACTATTCATCCATAAAAAAGAATAAAATTTTACCCTTTGCAACAGTATGGATGGACTTGGAGAATATCATGCTAAGTGAAATAAACCAGTCAGAGAAAGACAAATACCGTATGATTTGACTCATGTTGAATGTATTCAACAAACTGAACTAAGAGAAAAATGGGGACACACTCATAGATAGAGAGGAGGATGACAACTGTGGTGGGATGGTGAGCCAAAAGAAGAAAGAACTCATGGACATGGATAACCAACCATGTGGTGATAACTGGATGGAGGGAGGTATAAGGAGACTAAATGATAATGGAAAAATACAATCGAGATTAAATAAAAGAAATAATCTCTAGATTTTAACTGAAAGTAAAAATCATATATTTTATTATAGAAACATAATAAATGCAAATTTGCAGTTTTTCTTTTCTTCTTTTTTGTTTTTTGCATTTCAGTACATGCTAGTATTGAGTATCCAAGAGATATCTCTTGGATACATTCCTATGCTTGGACACATGACCTATGCTATAGTTTTTTTGATTATGAACCCTACTGGGTTATTCCATTTTGAGTTTATTCTCACATATAGTGTAAGAAAGTGGTCCAGTTTTAATTTTTGCATGCATCTGTTCTGTTTTCCCAATGCCATGTATTGAATAGGCTTTCTTTCCTTATTTTATATTCTTTCTTAATTTGTCATAGATTAATTGACCACATATATAGGCATGGGCAGATCTAAGTCTTCATTGGATTTGTTAGTGTGGGTAGCTATTTAGTTAAGGAAGGGAGCAAATAGAATCAGACATTAAGCCCAATAAACTAGAAAGCTAAATCTTTTAAGCCTGATTCACTAGGAAACTGCAGAATTTACAGACTCCCCAGGGGATTGCTGTATTTTTTGCAAAAGGAACTTAATCCCTGAGATATCCCCAAGTGGGCAGGAATGAGCTTGAAGAATTGGTTTTCCAATCTCTCCTGGGGACAACCACTAGCCAGGGTTATCATGGGGGAGTGATAAAATTTCAGAGAAAATTTCTTGGTTAGGTACATGCCCAGCAGAAATTTGATGATATAGCAAAACTTCAGAGCATGCACAGTAGGAGACAAAATGGTGACATGAAGGGGCCTAGTCAACCTAGGAAAATCTCAGTAAAGAATCAGATTGGATAAGAGTATAAAAACCTGGCAGATCCAGAAAAGTTATTGGTTAAGGGGCACATCCAGCAAAGCCCAGGAGAATCCAAGTGGGCTGGATAGTTTGAAATAAAGCCTGCTCATTCCTGAAAACCAAGAAAATACATGGAGGATTATCAGGAATGTTGGGACAGTTTCTGCTACAGCCTGCCCCCTCCCATCCTCTAGAGAGTATTATTTTTATCATCCAAATAAATCTTGCCACTATGCTTAAACATCTCCTACGCATGTGCACTTTGAAATGCCTTTCTCATGATGTCACAAGAAGACATTTTCACTGGCAACAGATTGATTCGAAATATTTTGACAAGAATTGTTTTATACATGATGCTGCTTACTTTATGTTGCATTGCACCAGATGGTTGTAAACCAAAATTAATTTTAGAATATAAGCAAGAATAAAAGGCATTTATTTGACTAAAATGGAGCTTCTGCCCAGGAGACAGATTCAAAAAACCTAAATTGTGTGACTGCAACAAAGGGGAAGCCAGCAATCTTTTATAACAAAAGTTCCTGTTCGGGTTAGGTTCATCTCATGTAAATGAGGTACCCAAATTGTGCGGTTCTTACCGGATGGGACAGATCTCAATCCATTTGTTAAAAGACGATTCCAGGGTTTCCCTAAAGTAATTAACAAGATGGCACAAACAAGTAAGGCATAGTGTGGGAACCTTATGTAACTGAATGCAAGAAAAGCAAACAATACCCAAAGCAAAACCAAAAGAACGCTCCACCAAAACCCAAACTGGGGAAATGGGATATTTTTCTTGTCACTGAGGAGTGCCTACCACTGAGCAATGTCTATTGATTCTTAAAGTATCCCAAATAGTTCAAAGAACCCGAGTGGTGGGGCAGGGGCTCTTGGTTGTGCACACCAGGGACTTACCCAGACTGGGCTCATTATCCCACCAACAATCCACTTCCTTTCATCATCAAAGCATTTAATGGCAGCTGATGCCTTGAAAGAGACAGAGCAGGAAGAGTCTCTGAGATAAAGAACTCTTGGCAGCTGCTGAAAAATTCCTGTAATACCTGCCTGGGTCTGCCTGTCACAAGGAGCTGGGACTCCAGCCTGGGCCCTCTGGGCTTTCCCGGAGTCAACATTGTCCATCTGGGTCACCAAAAATTGTAATTGAACACACATACAGCTGCCTGCTGCTACAAAAGGTAATATTCGAGAGGCAGGTGCTGATGTAAAGGGAAGTGGTTTGTTTTCAGGTGCTGGCCACTTAGAATATGGGGGTGGGGGACTCATGTCTCAAATACCACCTGCCACCCACCCCGCCAAATCAGTGGAGGCCATGGTTTTTATAAGGAAGGAGAGGAACCAGAACAAAGAAATCAAGGGAGGGGGTTGAAGAGTGATCTACGTGCAGATGAACACAGTCCATTCCAATAAGGCAAGTGATGGTCTGGTGTGCATCATCCAGGGTTAGTCATCCTGACTTCACATTATACTGGTTCCATGGTTGAATGTCAGCAAATCTCCTGGAGCTGGAATGCATAGACGTTGAAGTCTGTCTCTTCTGAAGTTAGTTCCTAGGATTATTATACAAACATGTCGTTCCTATATCTCCAAGCTACAGATTACTCAGAGTCAGCACTTACAGAAACAATATCAAAAGAATGGTGGGATGGGTTACAATTTCCACCTTTTAGTTTTGCACTGTTATACCAAGAGCTCAGTCTGAGGTTCTTCCCAGTATACAAAAGACAACAGAGTCCCCTTTCAGTAAATGGTTTCTAGGCTGTTATCATGTGTAAAATTTGGGAGTCCATCTCAGCAGATAAATTTTTCTTGGGGTTCACATTAAATGAGTCTTTCTTCTCAGAATCCAAAAAGTATACAATGTATGTTTGTTGCCCCTAGTAGCAATGCTGAATGTGATCCTTGTTTTGGGGTGGTGACAGTATCCTTGTAACAATTATCTTGATGATGAGATAATAGTTCCACACCACGTAAAACAACCAGTGTCACACAATAACATTTCAGTAAGTGCATGTTTCATGAGATTATGATAGAGTTTAAAATTCCTATTGTTTAGTGATGTTCTGGCTGTCTTCATGTTGTAGTACAGAGTATTACACAAATACCATTGTGTTTGTACCTACCTTATTTGACATAGTAACATGCTGTACAGGTTTGTAGCCTAGGAGCTATAAGGAACAGAATTTTCACCAAAATATGTGTCTTTGGCATGATTATTTTAGGCTAATTAATTTTAAGAAGCAGGAAACTTGGGAGAATCTCTGAAAACCAAGTAGAAGTAACAGTTGGAATACAATATTTACATTTCTAAGGAAAAAATTTCACTTTTGAGAGAAGAATGACCTTATCTCTACAAACTTATCAATGCAGAAGGCAAGGACTTAAATGAGCATAACAACATAACCTTTTTACTATGCTTTTCCTGGTAACCTCCCACAATTGCCACCTGCCACCCCCATTACATTTTATCTTCAGCTGAAGATTGTATTAAATGTAGTGGCTTTGGCCATTTTGGTGAGTTACTTCATTTTCCTGACTCTCTCCCATGTGTTCAGAAAGTATACAAGTGATTAAACATTTGTTGGTTTTCCCCGTTAATCTGTCTAGGGATATCTCAGACGAGAACCCTGAGGGAAGAAGGTGTATTATTTTTCTTCTCCTACAGGGCTACAGGTTATACCATATAGCCTATGTTTGTAGCAAGCTATACAATCCAGGTTTATTTAAGTGTACTCTATAACGTTCACATAATAATCAAATCACCTATTTAGGCACTTTCAGAATGTACAGTTGAACCTTGGTTCTTGAACTTAATTTATTTTGAAAGGCCATTTGAGAAGTGATTTGTTTGAAAACCAAATATTTTTTTTCCCCATTAGGAATAATGTAAATTGAATTAGTCCATTCCACAACCCCCAATGTTTTCCTGTTTTAACCTTTCTTTTATACATTACATGTTTAATGTACTGTTTAATCTATAAGTAAACACTTTAAAAAGAAAAAAGATGTGAAAGTTCTTTATTTCAATGTCTCTGGTTATACTGAGATACAGAACAAACTGTCAGTAACCAGAGGAGAGGGGAGAGGGATCGTGGGGGGAAACAGGGGAAGGGTCATCAAGGATCATGTATAAAGGACACATGGACAAAACTTAAAAGGGGTAGGATCTAGGGTCGGAGGCAAGGATGGGTAGGTTGGGGGGAGTGGTGTGGGGAAAATGGAGACAACTGGAGTTGAACAACAGTAAAAAAAAAGAACATAAAATGTAAATAAAAAGTTAACCAAAAGTAAATGAAATTTACAGTAAAAAGTGAAAATGTACATACAACTTCAACTTACCTTTAATGCTGAGAGCTCTTGGTGACTGAATTCGGAGAAGAGGGATGGAGGAATGCTATTGTTTGGAAGAGAAGGCCCTTTCTATAAAACATCAGGTAGCTGTTCTTCTGAGGTTCTTCTTTTCTTATGTCTCTTTACTCCACTAGAATTGCTTCAGGCTCACTGGGCCTATCTCTCACTAAAAACTTATCTGATGTTTGTTTTTGTCTGAATTTTAACAGTTCCTGAAATGAAACACTGCATTGTCATTGAACAAGTTTATCACATGGTTTGCTACTTCTTTGTCTAGGTGATATTTCTCAGTGAAATTTTGCATTTCTTCCCATTTCCCAAGCATTTCCTTGATTAGTGAAGTAGAAATATCTTCCCTTCCATCCTCTACCGCTGATGAAAGCTCTTCAGCTGTCACCTATTGCTGCTCCCTTTTAAGATCTGGGAGTTCCTTGGTGGTCAGCTCAGTGTGGTGGTCCCCCACCAACTCCTTCACATCATCATCATCCACCTCCAAGCCATGGACTTGCCCAGAGACACAATATCCTGCATAATGAGCCAATACAGTGCTCCCTGATTGAAAACCAGTTGGCGCTCACTGATAGGGAGGGGCCCAGACAGCCAGGATGGCAGCAGCGTTAGGCAAGCATGGTGCCTGTCAGAGAGGCCCCAGAAGATGTCAGTGGCACCTGGAGCCACAGAGATAGCAGTTGCCGAAGCTGCAGAAATAGTGGCCTGGCAACCCAAAGGGATGCTGTGGTGGTGCCAACAACTGGCGCCCACCCAAATGGCATGCACTGGTGCTGCTCAAGTGAAGCTCCTATTGCCTGCACACCACTGTCTGGAGCAAGTCTAAATTATCGGTCCAAACATAGGGGGGTGTGACCCAAAAAGGCCTGTCCTGTCTGTCTAAAAGGCCATTTGGCTATGCCAATCTCCCAAGAATAGGGAGGAAATATCCTATTAGACCCTGTAAGCTGGACATGCATGTGACACAGGAAGGCTTTAGATGGGGGCTGTGGCAGCGATCAGAATGGCTACGTCAACTCTTGGGTTTCTGGTCCCAACTATGGAAGAGAACGGAGGTATGGTACTCCCTGATTGAAAAGCAGTTGGCTGCTGTATATGTTGCCCTGTTGGCCACAGAGGCCATAAGAGGAACTGCCCCTGTGACAGTTAGGATGGCCCATCCCATTGCAGGAGTGGATGGCCAAGCCTAATAGTGGGATGGCTCAGACACCCACATTGGCTAAGTGGGGGGCTTATTTGCAACAAAGGAGTACTTTGTCCACTAGCCTTTTGCAGGCTGAGCTACAGGAAGCGTTAGGTTCAATTATTTATGTAGATGAGAAATCTACTGTTCCTGTCCCTATAGAAGAGATGGCAGCTAACCCTTTCCAGGAAGAGCAGATACCTATTCTCTCAGATGCATGATACACTGATGGATCCAGCAAGCGCCAGCCTTCAGTGTGGACCACTGTAGCAGATCAACCAGAGACAGAGATGATCTGGTTTGACACTGGTGTGGAGCAGAGCAGCCAGTGGGTGCTCTCTGAGCCATATGGCTCATGGTAGCCAATGAAGCTCCACCACTGACTATTTACACAGATAGTAGGGCAGTATACCGGGGGCTGACATTATGGATCTGTAACTGGCACACAAATAAATGGATGGTTATGCATAGACCATTGTGGGGACAGATTTTGTGGCAAGACTTATGGGAGTTAGGCCACCAGAAACAAATCACTGTATACCATGTTACTGGACATTCACCTCTTGCTTACCCTGGGAATGATGAGGCTGATACTCTAGCCAAGGTGTGGTGGCTAGAAACAGTACCTGCCAGTCCCTCAGGAAGGGAAGTAGCCCAGTGGCTATACCATCGCCTCTTACACACTGGGCAAAAGACCATGTGGTCTACCATTAAAACTTGGGGGTTACCTGTTATATAGGCAGAGGCACAAGAAGCTTGTGAGACCTGTGTTGTCTGCTCACAAGAGGCCCTGGCTGGTGTAGCTCAGTGGATTGAGCATGGACCTGCGAACCAAAGGATCGCGGTGTGATTCCCAGTGAGAAACATGTCTGGGTTGCAGGCCAGTTTCCAGCAGGGGACTCACGAGGCAACCATACATTGATATTTCTCTCCTTCTCTCCTTCCCTTCTAAAGATAAATAAATAAAATATATTTTTAAAAAAAGAGCAATCCCGAAGGCCTGGCCTGTGGGAACTTCTGGACAGATGGTGTGGAGATGGGTACTACTAACCTGGTGGCAGGTGGATGTAATTGGGCCCCTACCTAGTTCAGAAGGGTATAGGTATGCTACTACAGAAGTGGATACAGCCACAGGACTTTTAGCTGCTTATCCCACATGGCACCAGATCAGAAAGCAGTTATGTGCTCCTTATGGGCGACCCCCAATCACTGAAAGTGATCAGGGGATGCATTTTACTGGGGCCTTGGTACAACAATGGGCTTGAGACTTGCAGAATGACTAGAAATTTCATGTGGCTTATCATCCCCAAGTGCTGGAATGACTGAGTATTAAAATGGTCTCTTCGACCATTTCTCTCCTCGAAAGCAGGGCCTTCAAGCTGTAACTGCCACCCCTACACTGAGGGGCTGGACAAATGCTTCTGGACTCTAAATGAGAGGAGTTAGAGGGAGATCCCAGCTCTGGTGGAAGCACTGCTTCACTGGACTGCAGCTCCAATTCAGCTGCAGGTACAGACTAAGGAATGTTGTTGAAACCAGGCATGGGAAAATGGGAATATTCTCTTGCCTGTTCTGGAGGGCCTGGAGCAAGGGCAAACAGCCACTCAGACTTGGCCTTGGGAAATCAAAGCCTCCCACATGTGTTGGGTGGCTCTTGTTACCACCTGGGTCCAAGGGGTAGAGAGAAACTTACAAATAGTGCTCTGGATGATTGGGACACGGCCCCCAGTCTTAAAGGTGACATACCCAGGGCCAGCAGACCACAAAATGCTTCTTTGTGCCACCTTTGTGATTTCCCTGTGTCCCAGTATGAGTTCTCCCCTGTTGTTGCAAGTAGGTGCTGAACCCCCTGCTGAGGCATGAAAGGTCTGGTATTTATGCCTAGGAAGACCCCCTCTACCAGACACTGTTGTATCAGCTGACCAGAAGCTTGTATATTGTCTGAGGGTCATGACTCGCTTTTACTGGTGACTATAACTGCTGTTTTTTTGTCCTTAGAGTACAAAGTAGCACCTTAGTGGACTGGGTTCATACCTATGCCTTAGTGGCTGACCAGTTAGCATGATGGGTCTGCACTGAACCCCCCTGAGCATGTTGGCCAGCCTCCCATGGTGCATTTCTCCTGCTTCTGTCTCTGACTGGACTTCACTTCAGAACCAGTAGAACAGCAAACATCCTGTGTGGAATGAGACCCGGACTGACATCTATGCTGGGGTGAAACAGTGGTATGACCAACCTAGGCTGTTGGTTAGCTACTCCATCCATATGGGATGGCTCAGGGTGACTCACAACTTAAGGCTCTGGAGCTGGCTGGACCAGCTCCCCTTTGCATTGAGAACCCTAAAGGACAAGCCCAGGTGGGCTGAACTCTTGACAGGTCTCTGTCAGGCCCAAATTCTTGAACATTGCTGTAAGGCAAGGAAATGGGCCGCTTTTCCCACTGGGACCTTCTGGATCGGTAGCCCACATGACTGGCCTTACTTGTATGGAAATTGGGCTAGCCATTGTACCTAGCAGTGGCCTGATTGCCTGTGTTTTGCCTGTATGTTGCTGGAGCTTACACTGCTGCTGCTGCAGTGCTACTGCTATTGTGGGTTATAGGTGTAAGACTCTGCCCTCCTTGCCAAGGACCCTACGGAAGACATCCTTGCATAGGTTGTAAGGTGAGAAACCCAAAAGGGGTGGATTGTAGGGTAAGTGGAGGCAGTCCGGCGTCCTCACCCAGGTGTCTGGGTAACTAAGGGGAGCAGGGTTCCCACTGCCCTGGAGGGGCCTGATAACCAGTGTTCTCATAGCCTCGAGACTGGGTCTGATAAACTGTTCCTACAACATGAAGTGGGCACGCATGCACAGAATTATGTTCTGTTCTGTAATATTCTGGCATCTTACTAGCTTTGTTCCTCTCTAGTACTTCAACAGGTAGGGACTGACTCCCTGCTGGGAGTGATGATGAGAGAGACACATGCAAAGAGACAGGTGCCACGATGTGTGCCACTCTGGGGAGCAAGGGTCATGACATGGGCCGGTCAGAGACATGCAGATAGACACACATCTTGCAGTGTGAATGGCTCACCCACCCATGAATAAAGGCATGTCAGACATCCCAACAGCTCTGTGAATATTACTCTGTTTGGGCAAATACCATGGACCTGCCTGATCCTGAGTGTTGCAACACAGTCTTACACAATATTCACAAAGTATTCTACATAAATTATATGAATGTAATAGAAACATTCAATTTAGTAAAATATAAACATAAAGTGATTTCATTTCTTGTACCATCCCTGCCCTCAACTCTGCTGTGACAAGACTTTTTTCCCCATGCCTAAATATTTGAGGCACATATTATTACATTTTCATCACTTTTATTCAATAAAGCAATCCAGTTTAGTTTATTTTTTATATCTCATTCAAAATAATCCCTGTTACTTTTAATAAGATGCGCTCTGTGAACTTTATATGTGGCATGGTTTGTTAACTGACTCCCTTCCACTCGTCCCACTTCTAAGTTCTACCTCCTTGGGTTTTGGAGAATGAAAAGATGGTGAAAATGCAAGTCTTCTTTGTTTTGCAGATGTCTTACTTTTTTTAGTTGGTTTATTTCTTGAGATATAATTTACATATCATAAAACTATTTTTAAGTGTACAATTTAGTCATTTTTAGTATATTTTTAAGGTTGTGCAACCATCGCCACTGTCTGATTCCAAGACAATTCATCACCCCAAAAGAAAACCCAATACCCATTAACAGTCACTCCCAATACCTCCTTACCCCATCAACCCTCCCTCCACCCTCACCCTAAGGCAACCACTAATCTACTTTCTCTCTTTATGGATTTGCTTATTCTAAATATTACATGTAAATAGAATCATACAATATGTGACCTTTTATTTCTGCCTACTCAAGAGTAATATTTCCAGGTTGATTATTCAGAGCTGAGTAACATTTTCTTGTATGCATTCATCATATTTTATTTGTTCACACATCAGCTGATGCACATTTAGGTTGTTTCCACTTCA